TAATTAATTAAAACATTTCTTAATGATTTCTGTCAGAAGTTTTTGGAAGCAATTAATAAAATAACAACAATAATGTCTTCTTTAATAGTTTCAAAGTTTAGTTAAACATTATAACGCCTTCAGTCCGAACGGGCATCCACTTTTTCCTATTTTGATCCAAAAATCTTTACATTTCCCGAAAACCACTCTCTGAGAAAGAGTCATGCAATCTGTTTAGACCATACCTTGTTGACTTCCATAATTTTCGAACTTCCAAATTAACCGATCGCGAACACAAAAACCACCCAATCTGTGCTATTCGTTACTTTTTATCTTTATTGAGTTATCTGGCTCCCCACGTATCGAAAATCAGCAACTTATTCTAGTTTTTCTCCTCTGTTTTTATACTACCTCTAGCCTTACTTTAACATTCCTTATATACCAATAACTTCGTTTTATTTTTATTTATTTTGATATCATAACCTTGTGTCAATACCATTTTATTTACACCTACGTGTAACCGCTCTTTATATATCCCTACATCATCCGCAAATCTAAACATCGTAATCTTTTAACCCTGGCTGTGTATTAATATCCTTAAAGCTACCCCGTATTTAATAAGTAGCGGTGAAGATGTACTCTCCTCCCTTCCTAACATTTACTTCTCTACGGTGCCTCATCCCAATTTTAGTACTTTTACAATTATTTATCATTGAGTCTACTTCAATGTTGTCTAATAGTTTAACCTTTTGCACACAAAATGACTGGCAAAATACCAGAAACATCGAGATGTAAAAATCTAAGGAAGGAGCGCAAATAAATAATAATAATATTATCTATATTTTGTATTGCTATTTCATTAGATAAATGTTTTAGATAAACCAATTAACGGCGAAGAATTCGACTTTATCATAGTTGGCGCAGGATCAGCGGGATCTGCGATTGCAAATAGACTTTCTGAAATAGCACAATGGAAAGTTTTATTGTTAGAAGCGGGTTATCCGCCTGTGGAAGTTCACGATATGCCCATCCTTGCTCCGGTTTTCCAGTTTACGCCATACAACTGGAAGAATCTCATGGAGAAACAAGACTACATGAGTTTAGGTAACATATTGGTACATTTGATTCAGAAAATAATGCTCAATAAGCTTACTTGTCCTTTTTAGGCCTCGAAGATCAAAGGATGAGTTGGCCTAGAGGAAAAGGTATCGGTGGAAGTTCTTTGATCAATTACATGATACATGTCCGAGGTAATCGATTGGACTATGACAAATGGGCAGCCATGGGTAACCCGGGATGGTCATACGATGATTTGCTTCCATATTTTATGAAGTTAGAAGAAACCCGTACACGACACCAAGATTCACAATATCGAGGTCACGAAGGATACGTTAAAGTAGAAGATGTTCCAATTCGAACCCGATCCGCAGAAACGTTCATAGAGGCTCTTCAGCAAATGGGATACAGTTACGTAGATTACAATGGTTACCAGCAAATAGGTGTATCATATGTTCAAGCAACTCTGCAAGACAGTAGAAGATGCAGTGCTGAAAAGGCGTATCTTAGAAAGGCACAAGAAAGAGGCAATTTGAAGATCATTAAAAAAGCTCTTGTAACAAAAGTCATTATAAATCCAATTACATTAGAAGCTGAAGGAGTGAAATATGAACGAGACGGAATGTATTATACTGCTAAGGCCAGAAAGGAAGTAATCCTTTCTGCTGGAGCATTTCACTCACCACAACTGCTCATGCTCTCCGGAATCGGTCCAAGGTACCATCTGAGCGAACTCGACATCCCCGTCCTTAAAGATCTTCCTGTGGGTCAAAAAATGTACGACCATCTGTCCTTCCCAGAATTGGTAATCACTTTGAACGAGTCAATAGTATTTAAGGCCAGCTCTTTCGGCATCAACGAGTTCAAAAAGTACTTCTCAAATCAGCCAAGTCTAATAAGCACTCTTGGAGGTGTGGAAGCTTTGGCGTATCTAAATCTAAACCTTACCAACCGTAATCCTACTTATCCAGACGTAGAACTAATTTTTATGGGAGGCGGATTACACTCAGACTTCGGATTAATTACAAGAAAAACGTTTAGAATTACAGACAGAATGTATAACAGAATTTGGAAGCCCATTGAGAACGAAAATGCCTGCCAGATATTACCCATGTTGGTGCATCCTAAATCTTATGGTTATATTAAGCTGAAATCCAAGGATCCTCATGTTCAGCCCAAACTTTATGGAAATTATTTAACAGATGCGTACAATGAAGATGTGAGAACATTTATAGCGTCGATCAGGGCCATACAAGAAATTATCCAAACTCCGGCATTTCAACGATATAACGCCCAATTGCTGGATACGCCTGTTCCAGGATGTGAACTGTTTCGTTTTGATTCTGATCCCTACTGGGAATGTGCACTGCGTCACTTAGCAGTAACACTACATCATCAAGTAGCAACATGTAAAATGGGTCCAAAACATGATCCCGAAGCGATAGTGGACAGTTCGCTTAGAGTTTATGGGATTAAGAGACTTAGAGTTGCCGATGCAAGTGTCATCCCCCTACCCGTAACG